TATTCAAAATACATTCACAATAAATGATTAAGACCTGATAAGTCACATGTGGGTTACATACATGATATGGGGTTATATATATAGCAGCAATGATTAGTTGCTCGAGTCCTTTTAGTGTCGTTTAGGTGCATGGAAAGGCAGTTTCCGTGCCATTCTGTGAATGCATGAAGACCAAAGATTAAGAGGTCTGTAGGAATCTTTGAAAGTCTGTTCTTTGTCTCCTAGGTGGGGTGGAAAAGTCAATCCGAAGAGCTTGTGATCACTATCACATGTTTCCATATACATGTTAATAAGTGTTCTTTTGTTTTAATGTTGAAAGCTGTTCTGTGAAAGAATTGGTCAGGCTTGCTTTAGACTGGCTAGGGTCTGATTTATGACATCCTGTTGTCTTGGGCCTCTGTGGAATTTGGGCCCTTCAGGTTTCAACCATGTTTTGGCCAAATCTTAGATTGTCTGATTCGGTCTGATATCCTACACACCGCTGTGTTTGAATGGAGATGCACTGTGTCTTTGTTTTAAACTATTTTCAACAACGAAATAGAGCAAAATCAGACAATAGTGTTATAGTCAGACGATGTAAGTCACTTAATATTAACTTCTTGTTTATTGAATTGTATTGTATTAAATCAGTATCACATTTACAATCTCCCTTAAAAATCATTAAAAGCTGGCACTCATCTTAGTTCATCTTGATCTCACATCTATAATCAACTAAGCTCTCTACACTGCACAATGAATCTCTCACTTTGCTTATGAAAGGAATTGTGAGATACGTCTGTGATACATTACTCAACGCTGCAAAAACACGTAGAAATCTTTGAAGCTCCCCTGAGCGCAATCACAAGTATGATGATGATCGGGTCAGTCACACTGGTGCTCCTAAAAAATTTTCATAGTCGCACGGAGTAGTTTTCAGTCGCAAATGCAACTGAAATGGTCGCACTGTAGAGCCCTGAGCATCCATACATAAGTTACACTGATCATCACACAGTGGTCAATACACATGAAGTTGCATTTTTTTCCCCCAGTATTGCAAATATTTTTCCATCCCTGAATTTGATGAAAAATTAATTCTCTCCATGTTTTGAACACTGGTCAGAAGTCTTTGTTTGGGCTGTAGCCATTGTCATATTACACTTTTTTTTTTTTTTAATTTTATGGCTACTAATACTATTTATCCCACATGTTGAAAAAGAGCAATCAATTCCATCACCAAAAAATATCATTGCTTAAAGTTTTCATGCAATTGTTCAAGTAAACAGTCAGTAATATAATAAAGAAATATATTGCAAGTAATCAAAAAAAAAAAAAAACAGCAGAACAAAGATAAAGATTAGGTATATAATGTTTTCAGGTTTATAACTGTAGTATCAAGTTAACAATTAGAAATTTGACACACACACAAAAAAACAAACAATGAAATGGCTGTGTTCACTGCACTTACTCAAACACTGGCTGTTATGACTTTAGTGTCTGTACTTTTTGTAATTTTGCTCTTTTTGTAAAAAAAAAGTTTTTCTGTGAAATAGTATTATTATATATTATCTATTAGCTTGAAATTCCTGGTAGTTTTTTTTAAGTCCTTGCACAACACAATTCCATTTTTACCCAAATGAATTTAATGATGGGATGTTGTTTTTTCCTCTTTCAGGTGGTGTGCAGAGGGTGGTAATCTGATTTGCTGTGACTACTGCAGCAATGCCTTCTGCAAAAAGCACACAAAAAAACAAACAATGAAATGGCTGTGTTCACTGCACTTACTCAAACACTGGCTGTTATGACTTTAGTGTCTGTACTTTTTGTAATTTTGCTCTTTTTGTAAAAAAAAAGTTTTTCTGTGAAATAGTATTATTATATATTATCTATTAGCTTGAAATTCCTGGTAGTTTTTTTAAGTCCTTGCACAACACAATTCCATTTTTACCCAAATGAATTTAATGATGGGATGTTGTTTTTTCCTCTTTCAGGTGGTGTGCAGAGGGTGGTAATCTGATTTGCTGTGACTACTGCAGCAATGCCTTCTGCAAAAAATGCATTTTGAGGAACCTTGGACGAAAAGAGCTGTCTGAAATCATGAATGAAGAAAGCAAATGGCACTGCTTTGTGTGCTGCCCAGAGCCGCTGCAAGACTTTGTTAAAGCCTGTGAGAAGGTTTTGCTCAATCTGGAATCATCTTGCAGAAAGCCCAAAGGAGACGGTGTCAAGACGAAGCGTGAAGATCGTAAACACAAGCATAGCAAACGAGAAAAAACTGCTGTAAATGGACAGGATTATCCCTCTGACGGAGCGGGGACGTTATCCTTTTCCTGTAAGACGTTGACGGTTCCGAAAGAGCTCGTCAAGAAGACCAAAAGACTAATCGAGACCACAAACGGTTTGAATCGTACTTTTGTACAATTCCTCCAGCACACGTCAAAAGGCCGTGAAGGTAGTGCGGTAAGTAATAGACACTTAAAGGCCTTCAAATCGGTTTTGGCTGATCTGAAAAAGGCCCACGTGGCTCTGGAGGAATCACTTGAAAAAGAATTTGAATCGAAAAGCCTCAAGTTTCAAAACGGAGAGGAGCAAAGACACAGTCAAACTGCAGATCATACCAGTGTTAACTCACACCACGCTGACCCTGCTCCTGTCACAGAAGATGGTTTGGATTGCACCGCCAAGGACCAAGATGAAACCGAACAGGAAAGTAACTCAGCTGATGTTGAAATGAAGGAGAGCCTTCCACCCTCTCCAGAAAAAACTCGGGACCAGTCTGAAAAAAGTGAAGCTAAAGAGGATGAAATGGCAGATAACCCTGACTTTGAGGAAAACTCCGTGCCAGCAGGTGAAGCGTCTCTTGATAAAGACATCGTGTCTATTCCACTGTCTGTCCCGGAGGAACTCTTTGAGATGGTCGAGAGTCTTGCGGTAAAGAAAGAAGACCGTGACGATAGCAACTCGACTGGTTCCAGTGATTGGAAATCAACGTCCAACGCTGAGGTTGTGAAATCCAATAAGAGCCTTACAAAACTGGGTAGAAAACTTGTTGTCAAACTAACACCTGTTCCTCTTAAAATTACCATAAAACGAGATAAGAGCAAAGAACAGTCGCCTTCAGAAGACATGGATTGTGACACATTGCCAAAGGAGGCTCAAGATAGCAGACGCTCCCCCAGGATGAAGACCACACCCCTACGCAAGTCACCGGAGGTGAAGAGCAAACGCAAACCGAGGTCGTCAACGGCTAAAGAAGAGCGCAGTGACGCAGTCAAGGAGCAGTGTGATTCAGACTCGGATGAAGTCCCTGAGGTCCTGCAGACAGCTGCCTTGAAGGCCAGCTCTAATGAGAGCGAACCCGAGAATGCTTCTGGAAAAGGTACCAAGAAGAAGAAGGTAGCTTCCCGCTCTGCTGAGAAAGCAAAAGCGAAGCCAAAGCGTAAACTCGATATGGCCTCCTCAGATTCAGAACGGTCATCAACAGCAAAGAAAAGGAGCACCAAAAAAAAGAAGGGCAGAGAATCGGACTCCTCAAACCACAACTCTGATCTTGAGAAACAGATGAAAAGCCTGTCCAAGGTCGGCAGTGGGAAAAAAACATCCAAAGGTGTCAAAAAGGAAGAGAATGAATCCAGTAAAGATGGCAAGAAAGGCCCTAAACGGTCATTTGAGAGGAAACGAAGGTCACAGAAAGAAAAGCCTAAAACCAAGGAAGAGTTTTCCTCCAGTGATGAAGAGCAGGAGGAGGAGGAGGAGCAGCAGGCCGCTAACTCAGAGGAAGACAGCGATCAGCAGAAGATTAAACCAATACTTGAGTCTGTGATGGCTAGTATTGATGGTTTCCATCAGTCATCAGGTCAGTTGACAAAATGGTTCAATTAATCTACATTGTATGGCAGAAGTATTAGCTGCATATTGCTCATTGATTTCAAATTAGGGAAAAGAAAATGGTAGAATGGCTAATCAGGGCTCAACGGGCCCTGTCTAAAACAAACAAAAAAAGTTGCTGTTATCATTGTTTTTGACCCATGTTATCTTATATGACGCCAACATTTTAAATACCAGTTAAATTTTACAATTCTCAATTCTAATTTTGATACTACAGCAAAAACTATATGCCTAACAAATATAGCCTAAAGTTTAAACATTATTAAAGACAAGTGAACAGTGCGTAAATGTGAACAAATGAAAAAATTACAAGCAATAGCACAACTGAATCTAAATAACAAAGATAGAAATGATTAAATAGGATGCTTTAGGAAAAGCTGCAGATGGGCTGAATGAGACGCAGATTCACTCTCTGACAGCAGGTGGCGCTCATGGAACAGCAGATACAGTGTTTCCATGGTTACCGCTGTGAACAAAGCAGTGCTACATTAACACTACTTCAAACTAGGGTTGTGCGATTTGGGGGAAAATATCAAATTGTGAATTTTTTTTTTTTACATATTGCGATTTGATTTGCGATTTTAAATTTGCAAAGTCAAGCTTCAGCTCAATATTGTCAATAATGTGCAGCACAGTATGGGTATCATTACCCTGCTGAAAAAACAATAGAAACTATCACAGAAATTCTTATAGTTTCCATTAAACCATTACAAAATACCTTTTTGGTTTGGGCATTATTCCAATAGGAATGACTGTTGTTCTATTGGTTGCCATCTGCCAGATTGCATCCCACCAATAGAATCCATCAAATAGACACCACTAGTTTACATTAAAACCAACACAATTCCCATTATAACCCTGAAATCCATTACATTTGTTATTGTGTTTTGGGAGGGGTTCTATTGTTTTTCTTTTTTCAGCAGGCAAGATTATATGTGGTATAACTACTTTTACAGAATTAACTTAATTACTGAATTTCACAGAAAATATTTGTTTATTTTTTATAAATAAAGAACTGTATTTCTTAAGTCAATTATTAAAGTATTACATA